CGGTCGCCCGTCGTGCTTTCGGGGATGTTGGCAACCGCGCTATTCCTGTACAAGGGCCCAAAGCTCCCCTCAAGCCAGGGGAGATCTCCCGCAATGAGCCCACAAAGCTGCAGAAGCCCAAAGCCGGCCTCTCTGGGCTGCTCGCCAGGTGGGTTTTATTTTTGTCTGGGATCAATGGGGTTGTTTCAGAATTTCTTAGACTGGTAATTCCAAAGCGTATACGAAGAATAGGGTTTATGAAATGGTATTCAGTAATGCACCTTCAATGCCTTCTATTGAGTGCTTAGAAAATGGTTCATGTACATTATGGCATTTAACTTTAACTTTTATTTAATGTAGAAAAGGTATGAATGAGAGGGAATCTTAATCTTGTTTGAAGTACATCTTGTATTTCTGACAGATATATTCAAAGCAGGTCAAATAAACATCTTGTGAATCTTAAATATGTCAACATGAATAGTTCATTTATTATTAATCTTCTCCTTTGTCAGATCTGGCAAAGAGAATGTGAAGCCCCTGAAGGAGGTGGTCGAACATGTGGAGCAGATGGATGTGGAGGAGGAAGCCAAGGTTGAGGAGCTGGCTATTGCTTTCTCAACCCAGAGACTAGATATTGAAGATATTGATGCCCAAGACAGTGATAATCCCCAGCTTGTATCTGAATATGTGAACGATATCTACAAGTATCTGCGAGAGCTGGAGGTAATACTTCAAGGAGTTTGTATACCGTGTTTGTGTGAAATGATTGTGACATGTTGATCTCTATTGGAATACTATATAGTCTGAAAAACTAGTTTGGTAAGAAAGTTAGTGGTTGTGGATTTTGTACCATGGTAAGCTAATCATGTTGGCAACACTGAAGTCGGTTGTCAACCAGCTTGCGTGGAAATATTAAATATGCAGACTTCAGGGCCGGTTGTCACTAAGAGTGTCATATTGGTAGTATAAGTCTAGAAACAATAGCTGTTATTAGCTTGCTAGATATATAGCTTGATATATTTCCAGGTGTATGTTTATAAATTTTTCCCCCTTCTCACAGGATGCTAACAAAGTTAAGGCGAGATACCTAGAAGGTCAAGTAATTACTGGGAAGATGAGGGCAATTTTGATTGATTGGCTTGTCCAGGTTCACCTCCGCTTCACCCTTCTTCAAGAGACGCTGTATCTGACTGTTGCTATCATTGACAGATTTCTCCAGGTAACTAGTTTAACTCGTGGCATAATGTCCTATGAGATGCATGTCATGACTTATAACGGGATGGCCAGCTGTATACAGCCTAGGCCTTAGACTTGCATATTACATGAAATCAGTCTTCATCATAAGGTTACCAATCTTTTAACAAATTAATTTTTTTTGATACTTTTATTTATACATTTTTTTTTAATGGCATCTTCCCTTATTTCCAGACACAGAGGAATATACCACGTAACAAGCTACAGTTAGTTGGTGTGACTGCCATGTTCATTGCTAGCAAATATGAAGAGATGTATTGCCCAGAAATTGGGGACTTCGCATACATTACAGACAAAGCCTACTCAAAGGCAGAGATTCGTAAAATGGAGGTGACCATGCTGAATGAGCTGGGCTTCAATGTATCCTATCCCCTTCCATTGCACTTCCTGCGAAGAAACAGTAAAGCTGGCTCTGTGAGTACCTAGAGATCGTCATAGATTGAAGCAATATTACTTTTTTTTTTTTTTTTTTTATGTAAAATACTGTAATGCTTGTAATATGAAGTAAGATTAATAATTTTGTCAACAGGTTGATGCTTCTCAACATACCTTGGCAAAGTACCTGATGGAACTTTGTTTGCCCGAGTACAGCATGTGCCACTACAAGTCGTCAATAATTGCTGCATCTGCTCTCTGCCTTTCACTTAAGTATGAAAATAAGTATTTGATATAGAATTGCTTAAATGGTTTTAAAAATGAATTCCTAGATTGCTTGTGTTAATGAATATTGTGCTTTAAGAATTGTTACTTGTTGAATCCACATGTTACTTTTTGTCGTTGGATGAACGTTCAATCGGTGACTTTGCCTTTATAGAAAATGGTTTAATCCCAAGTACAGGTTGGATTTGATATTTCTTTGAACTACAGGATCCCTGAGGAAGTCCTCCATACCCTGTCAAGTAATATTTAAATTCCCCTTTTTAGATTGTTGGATGGCAATAACTGGAGTGACACATTGACTTACTATTCTCGCTACACTGAAGAGCAGCTCCTGCCAGTCATGTGCAAGATGGCGTCAGTTGTAGTTAAGAGCAGTAGTGCTAAGCAACAGGTAAAGTAACCTTGGCTTTTAATAATAATTACATTTTGATTACTTCATTTTAAGTAGGTTATTTGTAATATGAATTAGGCCTCATATTCACTCAGTTCAGAATGTGTACATTTACAATCACACTGCAATTTTGTCATGCTTATGTAGTTAGTTACATCATAAAACTGAGATGAGAAGCTTGCCACTTATTTTCATCTCAGCTTTTTCATAATCCTGGTTTTGTGCACTTGATTTTCTGCTTGGAAAGCTTATTAGATTTTTTTTACTTGCAGGCTGTAAGACAGAAATACAAAGCCAGCAAGTTGATGAAAATTAGTGAGATTCCCCAGCTCAAATCGAAGCTCATCAACACGCTCGCAGAGAAGAGTGCGTCTTATGCATAAGGTGGTTGCCATTTATAAAGTAAATATTGTACATGTTGAATGAATGGACTGGTTTTTGTACATATTACTTTAAGGTGCCAGTTTCTTTTTTATAAGCTTTCAGATTTATAGAATACTGACTACCAGTATTTGATTTATTTTACAAGACTGGTTCTTTGGGTTAGCATGTAAAACCCAGAGTGACTGGTTTTGGCATCTATCCATATATCATGGTCTTCACTGTATTAATATAATTTTAGACAGGACAAAAATGGCTATTTGATGAAAGGAACTTGTAAAAAGTATATGCTATAATGTCTTGTACTGTATATATGATCTGTGATAAACTTTTAGTTATGTCTTTATGTATACCTATATAATAAACCAGTTTTATGCAAGATCTGTACTCCACTATTTTTTATGCCTTTAGTTATAGATTGCAACCAATAAGTGTGGATTGACAGTAAAAATAAGTTGATTTATGGATATTGTTCATAACCATTCCTTTCCTATAGTTTTCAGCATCACCAAAGAAAATAAATATGCATGCTTTACTTTATAAATGCAAAAGAACAAGTTTGTGTGCCAAATACTGTACACATTTTATTCTTTATTTTAGAATCCAGATGTTGATTTTATGTGCAGGATGCATATCACTTTATGCAGATTAGGTGCTTTCCCAAATGTAATTTTTAACTTCTGTACTTTTAAAAATATTCCATAATTGTCACAGGTATATTTTTTGTATGGTAATGCAGTTTCGGTAATTTAGGATTAATGAAACAAGGAATCCTGTTCCAACAATTTTTGTTGTACCTTTTTGATCAGCTGCTGCTTTGGGTGGTAGTGGTCCCAAAACTTGAGGGACAAAGATTGAAGTTGTATTTAGCGGCTCTTAAATAGGATACTTAAAAAAGAAGAAAAAAATATTTGTTCTACTATTGCATCCTAGAAAAAATCTAGTTCTTGACCTAAGGATGTATTAAATTGTTCTCATATGGATTTGACTAGACTAAACCTAGGTGCTATATTCTTAGTATATTTCCAGTTCAAAGAAATGTGAATGCATGTTACCCATACTCTGTAATTTTCAGTGAAGTAAAAAAGAAAAAAAGAAAATATTAAATCTTTCCTTTTTCCACTACCTAGTAAGATACTTTGCATGTATGGATGAGGATAAATATTGCATGTATGGATGAGGATAAATATTGCATACCACTAAATTGGGACAGGGTATGCTAATTAGTTCTCAATATTTAATGTATATCCCAGTGGCAAGTAACCATTTTTACTGTGGATGTATACCATCCAATTTCATCCAATTTCAATGTTAAGCCTGACATCAAGCAGTGTGGGCATTTAGCATGTACATTATACAAACTGAGTTGGCAACTTTTTGAGAAAGCAGCATTGAATGTTAAGTGTTGGGCTATGGGTATTCCCTCCCTGAGAAGTAGGCTTTAATTAGAGATAACCAATAGTCAACATGCTTTTAAAACAAGGGGAAGCACTGAACAAATTACATGACCGCATTGGGTGAAATCTCAACCAACTTTAATTCTGAAAGATATTACATAAACACTCGTATAAAAAAGAAATGGTTCTTACTGAGTAGTAGTACTGCCTGAAGCTAAACGTTCCTTTCAGTGTTAATGTTATTTCAATCTATAAAATTTGTTAGTTGTTCATCTGTTTGAAACTTCTAAAATTATTACTTTGGATGCATTGGGTAACTGTTGTCCACCACCTTAGAAAAATTTGACTATTCCAAGGCATTGGGTTTCCAGCCTGTTTAGCCCAAGAAATGCTACCAACTTTTAAATGCTCATGAAATGGAATTGGTTGCTCACATGAATTACTTATGAACACATAAGTACAAAGGCTGATATGTACTGAATCACAATGCATCTTCTTGCACATTAGCATAATTTTTTTGAAACAGGTTAGTTTTCAAGCATTCCTTATGCTATTGAGGATTTTTAAAGGTATTTGTTACCAACAGCAACACACCCTCCAGAGACCGTCCCAAAACCAGGGTATTATGCAAACCCAAAAGCCCAACCTAACTTTTCCTACCTTCTATTTATTCCTTAGACAGGGGAGGTCAAGCCCTCTGTACCCCCACTTATTAGCACTGTGACAACTAATAGAAAATGGACATTAAGAACTCTGGCTGTGTGAGGGTGTTGTGGACTTGGTGTCTGAGCAGTGACATGCAGGGGGATATTTTCCTCATATAGCGGCGCATACCACGCCTCTGCAGCTGTAGCTATGTTGTTTCTTACTCTATTTCTAACACTTTAAGATTGTGGTGTCCATTTCCCTCTATCTCCCCGCATCACTCTCAGTAACCTTTTTTAAGAGTAAATATAGTTATTTTAAGAGATTGTAAATAAAGCCACATTTTTCATATGAATATGCTTTTTAAAGTGTGTTTGCAATCAAACATGGAATCCTTATTATCATTCCCAACAAGAAAGGCAGTAACAATGTTCAGATTATCACTTTCATTTTTTTGTGACTTAAGATGCCTACAGTCACAGGATTAATGAAAATTTCTGCTAATAGTGCTATCACCAGGCAACACCATGAACCTAATATACCAATGATTGCAAAAGCTATGGCCACAAAAGAGCCTGAGTCCACATGGCCACTAGTTATTGTGCATATCCTTCGCTACTTGAAGCTCTTCCTGACAAGTGGCCTGATCTGTTAGCACGCCCAAGGAGTGACAGGCAGGCAAATTACTGAATAAGCAACAGCCTTCACTCAAGTCAGTTATTTAGCCATTGGTGGTTTGCCTGCCTCAGGTGTTACCTCAAGCATGACCACCAATTAGGCCTGCTATCTGGACATGCCTTAATGTAAGGTTACCAGATCAAGCAGTTCCTAGCCAGCAGGCTTTAGGCAATATAGGGTATGGGCAATTAGCTCCCTCAGGTGTTACCTCAAGCATGACCACCAATTAGGCCTGCTATCTGGACATGCCTTAATGTAAGGTTACCAGATCAAGCAATTAACAAGGTTTGCCTCCAATTTCCTGCTTTTGATCTCTACAAGTGCATGGTACTTGCCTAAATGTCTGAACTGGAATACAATTTGCATAGTCTCTACAAAAGCTCTTTAAGGGTAAGTATGGTAGGCAAATGTTCACATGCAATCTAGAATAGAAACACAAATTAAAAGGACTGCAGTATGTTACATGAGTTTACACCACTGACTATCATAGTATGATATCCTTTTAAGTACAAACCCACAAAAATGAAAAATGCTACCAAGGGAAAATTTGGGAATGTGCACTAACACATCTATATATTTTTGCTGTGTACAGAGTTACGAAGGCTTTCCAGCAATATGAAAAAATGCTCTACTACATTCGCAGTCCCATAAAGATCCTCATCTTACAAAAATGTAACATGTCAAGAGTTGAAAAATTCATGAACACCACCAACTTGGCATGTTTTTGCCCTTTTCCCCAAAGAAAAAAAAAATCAGTTATTATTAACAAATACTGCAGTAATCATTCATACATAAAATTCTGTATCCTTTTTTCATTGCAACTGATGATGTGTTTTACTGTTTTATGCTGCTTTACACTTGAGACTCCAAATTGAGGCTACAGCAATGCCCTTGTGTTGCTTGCTATGATACCCTTCCTAACATCATTTGTGGTCCACCTTGGGCTTAGCAAGCTACCTGGAAGGCAGGTGAAGTTCCATAAAACTACTGTGGTCTTGAATTGATATATTGTTTTTAAAGTAATTAATAACTTTATTGCCAAATTTAAATAATTTGTAATTATGAACTTGGCTGATTATCCAGTATATCATACATTTCTTTTTATATTTTTATTAGCCTCATCTTAATATTTAGTTCCCTTTATGTAGCATGCATTTTTCTCTTTCTTGTGTGAACAATATGCTTGTGTGAACAATAAAAAAATAATTCCTTCAAATCAAAACAGCCACAAAATTATGTCATTATAGATCATTTACAATTTAATTATAGAGCAGATATCAGGTTTCAACATTTTATTGAACATTCTTTATAATCACAGAGAATGGTTCTGAGGGGGTTCTTCAAAAAAAATTTGGTAATAAATCCAAAACATATTTCTCGTTGTCTAATGAAATGTGAGATGAATTATATCACCCTAGTAACCTATTGCCACTTCACACAAACTTTAAGGCTGAATTATTTTATGTTCTATAAAAATAAATAAGCATGTTAATAAGACAGCTTATAGGCCACACAATATCATTTCCTTTGAATTTGAACCACACTGTACAAACTATTACCTTGGATCCTTGTGAGGGAAGGCAGTTCTACCATTCATGTGGTACTGCGCCATCCATGTGTGCCACCAATGCTGATGCAGAAGAAAAATATACATCATCTATTAGGTTGGGGTTTGGGGGATGGCAGTATTGTTAATAATAATAATATAAATATAAAAAAATTACCCATATATTTATTATTGTCATAATCAGTGTTTACAAATAATGTGAAAGAAACAGTCAGGAATCTTTGCTGGTGAGACTTTCATTAAGGTAATGAATTGCAAAATACCTTATTTACAAATCACTTCTGATGCCATCTCTTTATAAATCAAGTTGAAAGAAAACCACACTAGATTTAGCATTTATACATGCATTTCACTTATGCAGTTATGCAATTCTAATGCTACCAATTTGCAGGCCTCTATGCATCACCCAGTGACACTATGGTGAGGTACCCAGCTATCATTTTGTGTATGAAGAAACTATAGCAAACTTCTATAAATAGGAAGATGTAACAATATTTGTTTTTCTAGAGTCACAGCATTCTCCTAACAAATGTAAAGTGTAGAAATAGTCTTAAAGAGGGTTGATACCATCAAAAGAAATGATGTTTTCAATGCAATAGACAAATGGCATATCCAAAGAACAAGAGAGTAACAAAGTGTAATTATAACATTCAATTATTTAAAAACAGTTGGCAGGAAAAAACACAAGATTTGTAAATGTATATCTAACACGGTTTTATTATTAAAAAAAAAAAAAAAAAAAAAAAAAAAAAAAAATTGGATTGAACCTTGCATACCACAGTGGATTGGTGGTCCTGGGGCCTTCTCAGAAATGACAGGAAAGTAGTGGAGTGTGAAGAGAGCTATTTTGGTGGTAGAACATTCAATCATGGCCAGAAAGCATTTGAATGATTTTGCGCTTTCAGTGCATACGAGCAAGGCACCAAAAAAGTAGCTGGTGACTAAGTATTTGTGGAGCCATCAATGTGTAAGTCCCTACATATTGGCAGAAAACTATAAGTAGTAAAATCAAATAACTTATTTGCAATAAATAATACAACAAATTAACAAAATTACTGTACAATAAATCATCAATCATTTAATAAAAACCTATAAAAATATATATACACATATGCTGACTGAACTACAAACAATTACTTAATAGCATTTGAGACATTATAAATGTTCAGAAACTCTCTGTCACAGATGATGCTGTGATACAAATTGTAGTACACTACTACATCTCTTTCCATTATTTTTCTTCCTAGTTCTTTAAGTGTTATTGTCATAATGATTACCCATGGTGAAAGATAACATAAGTCATTTTACCATAACCTTTTTTTCCTAATCTTTCAATTCATCAAAGTCCATTTTATTTGGTTTCCTTTATTTTCACATATTGTAGAGACACATTACATAGGAGTGTCATATTCAGGTCTTGGTGGAACACAGGCCAAACATATTGACAGTAATTTTACCAGCTAATATGTTCGTTTTATTTATCATAAAGCCCGAATCTTGTTTTATTTCTTGTCCTATGTGTATGCAAAGATTTGAAATTTTCTATCCTAAAGAACTAAATATATAGTGCTTTAGAGATCATCTTTAAAAATTGTGGTCTTGTGCAGACAGATTGATTATTCTAAAACACTATGATATTCTAGTAATTAATGATGTATTTGAGGCATCCCTGAGTATAATTCATCAGGTTCATGTTTTACACTGATTATAGTGTGTGCAGATACACCTTCATTTTGTCATGCAATTCAATAGCAATTACCTTGCTACAAACTTTTTACTTTCTCATTTATTAAAAATATTCTAAAAAAAAAAAAAAAAAAACACTAAAATACATTTGAATAGACTTAATACACAAAGAGTACAATTACATCCTTGTATTCGCTCTCCTGGTGCCAGGTACTTCATACACGAAGAGGTCGTCAGCACACTGTACACTTAAGCCTGTTCCTGCAGCTGCTGCCTGTGCTTGCTCTTCCAGCAGTGCCACTGTCTCCTCACCTTCCTGTAAAAAAAAAAAGGAATCCTTTTCCTGACTCTGAACCGGTAAGTTAACTGACTAACAGCCATAGCTCCTGCTGAAGTTAATGTATACTGTGATATGTGTAAATAGATTAGTTAAGTGATTTCTAAATACGCATCAACAAAATTCATTTATAAATAATCCTTCCCCACAAAATTGCAAATTATGATTTAGCACTTTACTTAGTATCCATCCAAAGCACTGCATATTAAGAAATAAGTTTCTCTATTATGGAATTTGTATTATATAAACAATAATTTATCAATTTGTAAAACAACATTTTATTCATTTTTTTTGTAGATTCTTGCTTACTCATGTTTTATTGCTGCTTGCCTCTGACAAATATTTTCTAAAACTAAAACTGATATGAAGAAAAAGTAACTAAGAACTAGGTAAAAAAAATCCAAGCAAGCACATAATTCTCATAAAATGTCTGATATGACCAGTCTTCATCCAGTCTTTAGATACATCTTTAATTCAATTTTAATTCTAAACAGAATGCAGTTAATTGATGTAGTACTATTTTCTGTTTTAAAAATACACATAATAAAATAAATCTAAGGATAAAATCTTGTAATGCTATCATTTTTTCCTTCACTCAGACTTTTTTATTTCTTTGTTTTAGTCTTATACCATTAGTAGTAGTTTGATCTAACCATATGATTTTCTTACATATATCACTTGGTATAAAAGATGACAATACTTTTTAAAAATCTAGTCATCAACAAATAAAAATTAAACACAAAAGAATGGACCAAACTTGCATTTACTTTGCAACACACTGAAAAAGGTGTGACTACTAATAATATATCATACAACTGTATCTAATCATACAATCTTCATGTGTATATATATGATGAAAAATGAAAGATGGAATAATGCCATACCGCATTGATATCATGAATATATAACCCTCTTGCAAGTTCTTTGCAATGGCGTTTAGGGTTCGAATCCCTATTGGAGAGGTTATATATTCATGATGAAAAATTTATAATTCAAGCCATCAATCCTGTCTTTAGGAGTCATTC